TAATGTATATTGTGTTTATATATTTTGTGTTTTATAACTGTTTAATTAAACATTTATTTTTAATATATTCATTAGGCACTCCATTTGATCTGTTAATGAAATATTTTGAAAAATTTGGAAATAAACCTGGTTGTTTTTTAGACATAGTTCATGTAATTGAATCACATTCTATGTCTGATCAACAAATAGATGAAGTAAGTTGATATTTTTTTATTTTATGATAACGTAAAACACAATTTTTTTAATCCTACAATTATATTTATTTAATTACAAAGATGAATGGATTACCACTATACTTGCTTTTGGTTTACTTACTAGAAAGCAAGCTGATAATTGTGGCTGAGTTGACATTGTTAAGCATTGTACAGGAGACCATTTTAACATAACAATTTTTGGGCTTGTTGTATGTAGTTATACATTTTATATAATTACTAATTCAGCATTATTTTCTTTTTTACAAAAATATTATATCAGTCAAAATATATTTCAGCTACATTGCCCTCTTTGGTTGACTTTTCTGATATTTTATTAATACAGTAGAGTCTCGAAACTCGGCACTAGATAACCTGGCAGTCCGGATAACTTGGCCACACCCTGGCAGGGCAAAAAAATCCTTAGTTAATTAATTTTCATTATAGACAGCTTTATGCCTCATAAAGTATTTTTCTGGGGTCTGTCTTATCAGGTAAATTACTGTACACAGTGTATTTATTAATTTTCATTTTCTTGTAGTAAGGCTCTATGCCTTCATAAAGGATGTACTTTTCCTTTGTTTAAGGATATTTGGGTAGTTTATTTTCTGTTATATTCTCAAGTAAACAATACATACAAGTACAGTACAGTATTTTCTGAGAAAACACTCATACTTATTTTTTTAACTCCATTCCCGATAACCCGGCATTTTCACAAACTCAGCCACCCTTCAGTCCACATTAGGCCAAGTTTTCCAGACTCTACTGTATTACATTAATGCAGTACAGTAATAATGAACTAATTCAGGTGAAGGGATCTCTGTTAAGACTGAAAGTCTGTTATATAATAAGATAGTTTTTTCTGAATTCATTTATTAAAAAATTAACAAATTAGTTAGCTTATCTGTTTTGATTTATGTACAAGGTTTGTTCAAAAAGTAATGAACCGGAATTTATTTTGCTACTAGTATGAAACATACAATTATGAAACTTGGGCATATCCTGTCTGTTATCTTAAGTTATGTTATTTTTCAATAAAGTGTCTGCTTTTGCAAACTCAAGCCTATGATCTCACACCAGCATTGAGGAAGGGCATGTATGCTGGCTCAGTACCAATCCTCATTCTATACATGCAACCACTTCCTCACAGCATTGAAAACATCTTCATCTGACTGGAACTTTATTCTTGGCTTGCATCATCACAGTCTTTGTTTCCAGATCTAAATTATGGTGCATTACTTTTTGAACAACTGTGTATATATGTTTGTATAATTGAAATTAAGTATTATGAGAAATTTAATTTCACAGAAAAGTTTTGTACAGTAAAACATGTCCAAAATTGAACTTGAATAAAACAGAAACCTGCCTAAATGGAAATAATTTTTTGAAATGCAGCAATTTTCTGTTAAAAAAATGGAAGCCTTTCAAACTGGAAAAAAAATTCAATATTGTGCAATTCCACTTTACACAGTTTTCATTGTGTATTCATTATTACTTATGTACTCACTGTAATTCTGGGACTGTAATAAATGAGTATAGGAGCTAAATCAAAATACTGTAAATAAACATTTTTTGGAAAATGCACTTTAATTGTATTTGACCAAAATAAATAATGTTTTTAATGAGTGGTAACTCTTAGATTTGAAAAAAAAAAAAATATAATCTGCTAATTTAATTACATATAAAAAGCATTTTATAAGAAACAGGGTGTTAATTTTCAATTATCACATAGGGACCAGAAATCTTGTCTGTTAAATCTGAAGTCCATTAAATTGAGGTTTTTCTGTATTTTAATTACAGTTTTTTTTTTGTATATAATTATCACCAATAATACATAAACTGTATACATTCTTAAAATATTTCAACTATAGTACATATAAATTTAAAGGTTTTCACTAATACTATATTCATTTTCCATTTATACTTGTCATGTTCTGTGTTTCTAAAATAAAAAATTTTTATCCACAAGTTTCCAGAATGTGTTTTTGAATTCTGTCACATGAGGGTGTGTCTTAGCAGCATTAAGATACTGTTAGTGTATGTCTACAGTTTTTAGTTTTTCATTGACAGTTAAATACACACCATAATGACCACAGTTACAATAGTTTAAACAGCTGAAAACAACAAATGCATTAAATATGTAGTGTGTGTGTCTAAATCAGTGTTTCTCAAACTCTAACAAAATGTCGCCCCCTTTAACGTAGTATCGCCCCCTTCAATAAAACCGTTACGTAGTATCGCCCCTTCAATAAAACCGTTACGTAGTATCGCCCCCTTCACTTCAAAATCCGATGCCCAGGTCCAAGGCTAACGCTAAATTCGTACTGCATTGAATAGACTAGTGATTAGTATAATGTTATTTGTTTAATTATTGTACGATATAACAAATAAAATACCTAATTATTCTTAATATAATGTTTTACTATATCGCCCAGAAAATTGTTTTTTGCCCCCCAAATATAAATTGTTACTAATCGCCCCCTCAACATGGAAAAATGCCCACATGGGGGCGATATCGCCCCGTTGAGAAACACTGGTCTAAATAGTGTACTTATGAGCATAGTCAGTTCACTCAATTTTCTCAAAAGTCGAAAAATATGGACATGTGCCTTTTCTATAATAATCAGTTCTTATATGAAAATTAAGATGATGGCTTTGAAGTGTTTGATATAATAATTGTGAATACATTTAATATAAAAATATTGCCAGGACAAATTTATCAATACAGAAAATCCTTAAAAAGATTCCTCAAGACAATACATACAAATGTGTCTTTATTCAAATTCAGTCCTTTCGAATGCACATTTGAGGAATTAACAAATTTCAAACAATTCAAAATTATCATCTTAATTTTCATTCAACTAATAGATGATAAGATGTGAAGAAACAATATTCTAATGGAAATGACATCAAAGTGCTCAGGCATACACTTTTCTTTCCAAATTATGTAGCGTATAGTGTTAATATAGTTAATCATTTTATTATTTGAAAAAATTTATAATTAGTAATAGAATATTTATATCCTTCAGAAGTGCATAATAATTAATATACCAAATTCTCATTGCAGAGATCAAGATTCATATCTTAAACATGTTCATAAATTTTTTGATAAACAGTTTTATTTAAACAAAAGCTAACATGCATTTCTTTCAGTTAATTGTTAATTAGCTATGTCAAATACCATACAAGATTGAGACTAATAATATTGAAAAAGTACACAGTAATAAAGCCTTGTAGCAATAGTTATTCCTGCCTAGTTTAAACTACATTTGTTCACTACATGGTTTATGAAGTAGCGTCATCCATATCAAACTGCACCAGAATTGAACAGCAGACTATTATTTGATTTTTGATAATTGAATGCAGTAGATGTAGTGAGATCCATTGCAGGATGTATGCACAATATGAAGAGTAATAATGCATGTTACTGCAAAAAGCATACAGTGCTTATCATGTATGTTTGTTCAGCTTTCTTGAACTGTTCAACCCACTTGCAAGCTTTTTGCAACATGCATGACTCTCCATATTGTCTTCATCCTGCAATGGATCTCAGTAACTTATAAGTAAAAAGTTTATGTACAAACAAAAAATATACAAAATATGCAATATGCAAACTTATATTGCTAATACAGTAGCACATCGATTATCCAAAACAATTTGTGACGGGGTTGTTCGGATAATTGATTTTTTGGATAACCATTTATGTACGAAAAAAATATATTAACCTATGCCATGTTGAAATTCATTCAAATCCTGGCATGTCCTTAAGTACCTTCTCATGGTCATGCCAGTGTGCTGCCAGCTAAAACATGCACACCGACAAAAATAATATTGGAGTAGCCCAAGACATAGCCAAATATTGCAGTGCCACAGCACGTGGAAATTTAAATTTGCCGACTGGAATGCTTTTGGTTAACTGATGGTTTGGTTGATCGATATTTGGATAATCGATGGTCTACTGTAATGTTTTTACATACACATCTCTAATTTTGTATCTTCATGTAAGCATTTCTCTAAAGCAGTACATTATGTACTTTTCTTTAAATTGATATTATAAAAAGTGCATGCTGTGATCTAGCAATATATTTAGATATTACTCATATTTTAATTCATTCCTGATATATATTGGCTAGATGAGTATTTTTTAAAAGCATTCTATCTCAAAATATAGAATTTACTTTTTCTCATTAGAAGTTATCTGTCTTTGTTTTAAAATTGAATTATAAATGTTTTGTAAAATATTATTTTTCTTTCTTTTTGTCTTTTTAAAGCTTTTGGAGAAGATTAGAATATCATTAGAAGTTAATGAAGATGGAAAACTTATCCTGCCAAGTGATGTTAGTATTTTAATTATTATTTATAATTTAGATTAATTTATATTAGACATGTTTAGTAAATAAATGAGAAATGTTGATTGAAATGTGTTTTGAAATATTTTAAATATTTGATTTGACATTTATTTTGTTTCAATAGAACATTATAATTTGTAAATTTAAATGAAATGATAATTTGTCTTTTCCCTATGAAATATTTAATCTAGTGATAAGTTACAATAAAATAAATATTTTTCTGACTACTATCTAAACCATAACTAACTTTTGAGTTGGTTATTGGATTTCTCCATTTAATTTAAAGTGTTTTGCCAAAAAGAATACTATAAATAGATATAAAGAATATGAATGCTTATTGCAAAGTCCATAGAATATGGAGGATATGATAGAATATCTATGTCACAGACCTGTGATGTTAATAGCAGCCTTATAATGTTAAGTTGTAGATATTATTTTTAATTACTTTTAGACGTTACACTTAATGGCATGCGTTATTTATTTGTTTTATTTTTTGAAAAAAATGCTTACAATTGACCTGACAAATTTCTCTCTTACTGATTAATTTTTAGGATTATACTGATATGATTTGAGAATGTTGTTGTCATAACTTTTCCACAGATCATTCAATCAAATAATTTTCAATTCAATGAAATGTATATCAAATATTTTTTCTTTTGCATTTTCAGTTAATCATAAATTTATTCATGATTTATTTCCATTCATTATACTGCTTAAGAATTTTTATTTTATATAGTACAGTTCCATTTTATGTTACAAAAATCCTTATAGAATTCTAGGTCCTTTTTGAAATGTTTCAGCTGACACCATATTCCATATTTTAGACTTGTGATTTTCATCTTATTTTTCACTAAAATACAAAATGCACAAAAAACTGAATTCCTTTTTTTAGGAGCTATATGAATGCAGATATAATGTTCAAATTTTTGTTAGTAAAACCATAAAATTGTTGAATGTAAAGACTGATTATAATAATTTGTAAATTATAACTTTTTGTTGATTACTTATTGAATGAATTTAATATACTATCTTTGGAAAAATTTGGAATCATCTCACATTTTCTGACATTAACATAACAATTTTCTTGTGTCAATTTTCTGTAGTTTTATGTATGCTTTATTACAGAAATCAACTGATAACAAAACTATGTTCCATTATGCAAATCTAAACAATTAAACAGCAATTAAATGCAATTGAAAAATTTACTTAGGAGAAACATAATAAATTCATCTTGGGAAAAAGTTTAGAAACATAGGAGGTTATGGAAATAAGTATGAAATCATAAATATAAATTTGTTATTTAATAATTTTTATGGCCTTGTTTGTCATTCATTACAGCTATAACTTTTAGGCATTGATTCTTCAAGTTTTTTACAGATTTATGCACAGGTATTACGTAATTCCAGGCATGATTAATAACATTCTGTTTAGCCCTTTCTTGTTTGATGGATACAGAGAACAATAAACATTACAAATTTTTATCAGATTTAAATCTGGACTATTTCATGGCCAATTCATCCTTTCCAAATTTCTTCAAGTGAAGAATTCCACAAAATGACATTGCTCTGTGGCACAATTGTTGTCATCCTTTAATTGTTGGGATAAGGAATCCTTTCAGCATCTTCGTATATACTTCTGCATTCAAACAGTGATGTTAAGAAGGCAGTTTTCCAGGTCCTTGTGTTCCCACATCGTTAGAGACTGAGAAACTTTGACTTTGCATTTCTTGTAATTGTCTTGACATGTTAATTTTCCTTTCCTTTTCCAATAAAATGATAATGGTTGTCATAACCATCATCATTTTAGTTGTTGATCTTTAACTGATCACTGAAGCTGATATGACTCTGTTCTTCTACAGTTCAGTTTTTTCATTCTATGCCTGATAATAGTCATTTCTGTCAGTTTTTATTATTGTAAACATTACATCTTACAGTGGACTGTGAACACTCCATCATCTAGGCCAGTGGTCTCCAAAGTGGGGTCACAAAGTGATATCTGGGAGTATGCCAAGTTTTCCTTTAAAATGCTAAGTCCACAGTCTGTCTAATCTTACAGTCATTCTCCTGAAGAAGTAGGCTTACAATCATACATGGAAAAAATTCAAATTGTAGGTTGTGGGAAATTTAGCAGGGATTATGTATTTATAGTGGAAATTTAGCAAATTTTATTATATTATAGGTGGTTACAACTTATAATTATTTTCTCTTAGGGGTATGTGATCAAAAAAGTTTGGAGATCAATGATCTAGGCAACATAATGTTGACAATATCCATTCTTTAGCCACACAATGATGTGATTTTTTACATTGTCAGACAGTTCTGCTTTTGGAGCCATTTTAAGTAACTATATCAGAACTGCTGATGGCAGTTAAGATACACAAAACAGCTTTGAGTATTTAAGTAGTTTTGCTTTTTTTAAGCAGGTAAGCAGACGATTCCATACTTATTTCCAGTGCCTTCTATGTCAAACTTTTTCTAAGATGAATTTATTATATTTGTCCTAAATAAATTTTTCATTTGCATTTAATTGCTATTTATTTGTATAGATTTGCATATTGGAACATACACTCACTGCCAAAAGTTAAGCACGGAGCAATAAACTGCGAAAAAATCGACAAATACAGCTGTGATTGACACAAAATGCAGCAGGACAGTAGCAAATATGTTTATGCATGAAACAACACAGAGAGTTACATAGAAAAATGAAAACAATATTGAATTTTCATAAAGTATAAGATGAAATCATATTGGAATCATTAACAAAACGATGTTTAAATCCAAAACAAACAAACAAAACCGACATTAGTAGGGTAAATGGTCACCCCTTATCCTTACACAAAGTTTACAGCGTGTAACCATGCCTACCATGAGGTGATCAATTACTCCAGAGTCAAATAAGTGCCATTCCTCCTGTAGAGCAGTTTGCAACTATGTGAGAGTGGCAGGGGGTGGGAAACATGCACACACAGCACGGCCGAGGGTACCCCAAAGATTCTCAATGGTATTGAGGTCTGGCGAATACGCCGGCCAATCCATACGCGCTATTCCTTCACTCTCGAGGTAGTCGTCGACGAAGGCAGCTCTATGGGGTCGTGCGTTATCATCCATTAAAACAAAAGCAGGACCAACTGCTGCAGCATACAATTTCACAGTGGGTTCGAGGACTTCATC